ACCCTACTACCTGAACTCCTGTAGCTTTACCAGAGTTTTAATAGGGAGAGTCCAATAACATGCTTATTGTATTTTTCCCTGCCTCCTTCTTACTAGGATTCAAATATTTTCCGGTTTTTGCCTTATTCTTCTGTATCACTTTAGTATATTTTATCACATAATATGATTCAAAGGTTTCAGAATTTGAATGTTATTTATTGTATCAAATTATGCTTTAATTTGGAATGATTTTTAATCTGATGATATTGAACCTGCCAATTAAAAATATAATACAAGTCTATAATCTGTTACCTGACTTCAGAAATCTAAATAATATGAAAAAATCTTTTTCTCAACATTTGCAAAATGTGACCAGATTAAATTTTGTGATAACTCATGATCAGATTTGATCCGAAGCTAGAGACTTCACAAATCCTTTTTACTGCAGATGTTGAAATACTTGACTAAAGAGATGCTTCTATATTTGAGGATAATGTAGTCAGTCATCTAAATCAAAGTGCATTTGTTTAAAACAGATCTCTTTTATACTGTTGCTGGGAAAATAGACTGGTCTATCCCTTATGGAAAGTATAGGTTTCTGAAGAGTAAAAATTGGGGGCCTCCCCGGTGGTGCAGTGGTTGAGCGCTGGGTTGCGAAGCTGCCCGCAGCCTCTGCAGCACCGGTTTGATCCCCGGCTGCTCCCCAGCCACCAGAGTAGGGTCCCACATGGCACGCAGACCTCTCCTGCCGCCTGCTGCTCCCCTCAGCAGTGTACTTTGGTCCTTCTGCCTGCTCTGCTCCCCGCTCTGGTGAATTCTCTCCTGACTGTACCCAGTGCTTGCATAAATAAATAAATAAATAAATCATAAAAAAAAAAAAAACTTCAAAAAAAAAGTAAAAATTGAATCTACCATATGGCCAAACAATTCTGCTCCTAGATACCTACCGAAAGAACAATAATACTAAATGGAAGGGAAATTGCACTCCTATATTCACAACAGAAATATATGCAATAGCCAAACTATAGAAATAACCTAAGTATCCCATAAAAGAGAAATGGATCAAGAAGATGTGGTATATATGCACAATGGCATATTACTTAGTAATACTACTTAGCAATCAATCAGAAAAGACAAATTCATGTCACATGCAGCAAGCTGAAGGGATTATGGGTGGAGCTAGAAGGGATTATGCCACATGAAGTCAGAAGGAGAAAGACAGTTACCAGATGATGTCACTTATATGTGGAAAAGACAGAAAGGAGACAAGGGGTCAGATGACCAAACTCAAAAATTGTGTATGTGTATGTGTGTTAAAAATGAGAAAAACCCCAATTAATGTTATATACAGAAAGAACAAATTATAAGCATAGAATTAGATAAATTATTACAAGAGGAACTCATTTGAACAACCCTCTAGATTAAGAAAGGTAACTTAAACCACCCAAATGACACTCTTATGTCACCTCCCTAAGGATATATTATATTGATTTCTAATACTAAAGAATGGTTTATTATGGTTAAACCTTCTAAAAAAGTAATGATGTACCATATTAACACAACAATGGGAGGATATGAATGTAATCTACCTGGCATAACTATCTTTGTGGAGGTCAAATTCACTACATATGTGTTGTTTTTAGGATTTTTGCTGTTACTGGTAATGTTATGAACATTTTTGTGTATGTGTGTATGTTAGCCACTCACTGAAGAGGTTTCTGGTTATAGAGACTCAATAATGGAAAGTTTTAAATTACCATGCCTGAGAAATGGAACAATCCAGATTTCCTATTTCTTCTTACATAAGTTTGGTAAATTTTGTTTTGGTAGGAATCTGTCTTTCATCAAACTTTGTCAGTATTATTAACAAAAACATAATATTACCTATTTTTTTAATGTTTTAATGATCCTGATATTGTTCATGCCTTCCTGGGCTCTATCAATTTAATGTCTTTCCAAAAAAATCTCAGATTGGACTTAATCATCTCTATTGATTGTTTTCTATTTTGCTCACTTCTTTCAGTTATTTTCTTATTTCTACTTTAAGTTTAATTTGTTGGGTTTTTGAGGATTGCTTTTTGCATTTGCAACTTTATACTTGTTTCTACTTTTCTAAAGTAAGTGATGCTGTAAAGATTGTTGTAAAGCAAGCTTTAGATACCCTACAAGTTGTGATATGTGGTGGTTTCATTATCATTCATTTCAATTAGTCTCTAGTTATCATGTAATATCTTTTTGACCTATTAACTATAATTAGGAGTATTTTTCCAAACTATTTTAGAATTTCCTTTTTTTAATAATTTTTAGCTTCCATTTCTGTGGTAATAGGCTGTGATTTTTATTCTTTGTAATTATTTGAAAGCTATTTTATAGTTTAGCATATAGTCAGTTTCTACAAATCCACCAGGTTCACTTGAGGATATGGTTTGTTTAGTTGTTGGGAACAGTATCTTAATTCATGTAAATTAGGTCAATTTTATTGGGTTTTTTTTGAACCTCCTATATATAGCCTTATTAGTGACTTTTTGTGTTTTTTTTTTTAATTGCTGAAGGTGATACATTTAAATGCCTCACTATAATTTTGCATTTTATTTATTTACCTTCTTAAAAACTGAGGCAATGTTTTTGAGTATTTTCTTCCTGATAGGCTGGCATTTTTAATATCTCATTTTAAGACTAGGTATTTTTTAACTTATTTTCTACTTTGGCTACTATTATGTTAGTATACCAGCTTTTTTTTATATTAATTTCTATTCATATTTTATTCTTTATATCCTCCATGTAAGCTATTTCAAAAACAAGTGATTATTTTAAATTCTGATCTGATCATTTTTACCTATGATTTTTAATTGGGAAGAGTCCTATGTTTACATTCAGTGATGTTGATAGATTGGATTATTTCTTTAGAATGCTGTTTTTAATCCCTCTCTTTGCCATCCTTCTCTGTGAACTGAGTATACATCCTGCTTTACTGACTTAAGATTTCTCTCTTTTTTGACCAATGAGATGTGGGCCAAACTGCCTCTCTCTCCTGCCCACCTGCTAGGTTATGGGAACATTTCCCAGATAAGAGGTGCTCTTTCAGCCTGAATCCCAGAATAAAAAGACAACAGGAATAAACCAAAACACAACCAATGGCCTAGAACTGAATTACTACCATCTACCCTCCAGCTGCTAATGGGCAGTACAAGCCAAAGATTTTTGAAGCTGTTTTATATACAAGTAGCCTAATGAAAGTAAATTAATGTGGAAAATGGTACAGAAGTGTGGTGTTTCTACATAAAAAAAATTAGGTATCATTGGTTTCTGGCTAGGTAAGATTGTTGTCTGAAAAATAAGAGTCAGCACATTCAATGTCAAAACGTATGGTAAGATTTGTGCCTGTGACTACTTGGTAATAAGACCAGCTTCTTAAACTTACACTGGTAAGACAAAATGTTAATAACTTGGTTGCTTTTATCTGCATTTCTTGAGTTAGTATACTAAGGATGTAAACTCAAAAAAAGGGATTGCTGTGGTTGGTATCAGGATGGCATGGGTAATTCCTTTTGAATCATCCCTTGAATTTACAATTAATCAGATATCCATAACTGAACAAATACACCTTTGCACAGTGCAGGAGCACACCAGAGTCAAATCCAGTCATCTGTGCACCTGAAAAATGTGGGATGGTAGGAATAAAAGCAAAAGGAGAGAATTCAGATACCTTATGATTAACAGGGTTAATACATGAGACTAGAAAGTACCTGTTTTTGGAATCAGATAGATCTGTTTATATCCCAGCTCAACCACTTAATAGCAGTAGGTATAGTGTATCTGTTCAGATAGTTTATGCTCTGGTTACAAATCTCTAAATATCAGCTTAAAGAGTAAACTAGCTTTCTTTGTTATATTAGAGCCAACATGGATTAACTGAGAACGCTATTCACTGTAGTTCTAGTCACTCAAGATTCCAGACTGGTGGAGTTTCTAGTTCACTGCACACATCCATTTAGCAGAAAAATGTGAATATATAAAAAAATAAATTTTATATATGTATGCATACACACATATGAGTAATTTACAGAAAATAAATACAGGCAAAAAGAGCAAACAACTTAGAGAGTAACGACAGCCTTACTGCTGTTTTCTTAGAGCCAGTGAGAATAATCTGATCCTTTACTGTGAGTGCTAAATTTTGAGCAGACTTATTGAACTCAGCTACAGAGACATATAATCCACTCTTTAAATATTTGCGTATCACTTATGCTTACATCTTAATACTTACTAAAACCCAGGTGATTCTATTAATAATTTTGTTTAATTCCTCTAATGGTGATCTACGCACAAGGCACATGGTAGACAACAAAGGGATAATAGAGGATGCACAGGCCCTGCCTGAGTCTATAATCCCTAGAGGACCACCCCAGTAACACAAGCTATGCATGGTTCAGGGCACAAAACACTTAGGGTTTTAAGAATGCTTGCAAGTGCTCTGCTAGAGAAATCTTACTTATCATAATAGTGGTGTTTTGATTTTCGTTTGCTTTTAAAAGTTTCACAGCAACTTAATTCTACTTGATTTTAGTGAAAGCTATAGGCTGTAACTAGTAAATATATACACGGATTTAACACATGCCCAGCATGTTCCATGTACACTTGATCAGTGATCACATTTAACCCTAATATCACCAGCCTCGGAGGTGGGAGGTATTATGCTTTCATAATAGTAATGGTTCAAAAGGCCAAGCTATTTAGAGACTGAAATCTAGCAGCTTTTTATTTAAAACCAGACTTTTCACCACTATGCTTTCTTACTTAATTTCTGGCCTGGAAATTTGATTTCCAGTTCCATTTTTAATCATTAATTTCTATCTCAAATTATGAGTTGTCATTTGTCATTCAAGTTCAAAACTGTAAAAGTCTCTCCTGAAAACAAAATCTCACATCTTACTTTTTATTCATGGAGCCAAGGTCCACAGCCCTGGTAGAAAATATACTTTTGGATCTAAGAGTCTTTCCCTTTCTATATTTTCTCACAGGTCTCTACAGAAGAAGGCTTGAGCCTGGCCCGAGAATACAACTGTGCTTTCTTTGAGACTTCTGCAGCCCTCAGATTCTGCATTGATGATGCCTTTCACGGTTTAGTGAGGGAAATCCGCAAGAAAGAGTCCATGCTATCTTCGATGGAAAAGAAACTGAAGAGAAAAGACAGCCTGTGGAAGAAGTTAAAAGGCTCATTGAAGAAGAAGAGAGAAAACATGACATGATACCCTTGCTGCTTAATCCCTTCCTCTCTCTGAGGTTTATCAGTTGGACAATTCCAGATGTTGTATTCTGTTTCAATAGTCTGCCTCTCGCTTTCTTTAAATACCTGCCTATAGGTAAAAATGTGTGTACCTGTACCTCTTGGGATGGCTTTGTTTTGCCCTTAACAGTTGGATGGATTTTGTCAATCAGCTGGATATGCTGTTTAGTTTTTACAATATATTACTAAATAAAATTGACATTCCAATTGCCTCATTTCCCTTTAAAGAGTCTAGCTTCATTTGGTATGCTGTCTGGTTATATAGGAAATATTCAAAATTGCAGACAGAATGATAAAAGGCTCAGGGGATCTGCCTTTGCCTGATAAGCTTGGGTTGTTTGCATTTCAGGAATCTCAGTAAATAATAAAGCAGCCTAGGAAACAATTCAGAGCAGGAGTCTGCAGCCTGGTCTTTCCTTAAATGTAGAAGACATGGTGCTTTTCTTGAATAATCCAGGGATGAATCTTAAAGGAATCATTAATAATAGGCACTGGTTGTGGGTCACTGGAAGAACTGAAAGGAAATATCCCCTTATTTACAGTGCTCTGCCTAGTTAGATTTTGGCAAAATTATCACAGCACAGTTAATAGGCTGTGACTTCAAAGGGCTGTTTGTAGCAGGAAGAGCAGCTACTGTGAATGGGTTGGTTCACATACTTATAAAAGGACACCCTGCTGCTCTCAGGAAGGAGTCCTCAGGACTGCTTCACCTGAGTTAGGGACTTCTGCAGTGAAAGTGACTTGATTACTCCAAATACCCTCTATTCTGCCAATATATCGCCAAAAATCCTTTGTTCTCTTACCAGAACCATGGAGCACCACTAGGTAGAGGGTGAGATTTTTTTCTTGTTTATTTTACAGTGGAACATGCTAAAATGAAAATATCCATTCATTCTTTTACTCCATTGTGTGCACTGGTTCATTGGAATTCAAACTCAGAAAGCATACTACCAGAAAGAAGAGTTCTCAATGTTCAATAGACAAAGTGTTAAAAGGAAAGCCATAGATAGCTAAGCATGAGATGGAATCCATCAAACCCATCTTTGTAGGTTGGAGGCACTATTTATCATAAATTAAAGGAAAGGAAGGATGAGGGCATAGTTGTCATTCAACATGCAAGCACTTATTTTATTCACAATGCCCCTGGCACGCACTAATCTCTGAGAATGCAGAAATGAATCAAGGTAGTTTAACATCTCTCTGGAAGTCTCACTTGGGTGAATAACAGTGGGATTATAAATTCTCAGATAAGAAGACACATTTTTACAAAGTAACATGCATACAATTGGATGGAATTTAGAAATTATCACTTTTCAACTGTTGAACACTAAAATTTCAACCTTTTTAGAATATTGTACTTGTGAGTTCTAGTACTGCTAGGGGCCAGGGCATTTCTTAAACCCACAGACTTCACTGTCCTTGCTGCAGGCATGGAATCAAGGCACTCAGTGTGCACTTCCTGTTTGTTATTAACAGCTGTCACTCTGTCCCTTTCAATTTTCATCTTCTATGAAGTAGGGCACACACAGATCCTCTTTGGCCTCTAAAATCTATACTATGTCTTTATATTTTAAGACATTCAGAATTAGGAACAGAAATCAAAAAAAGAAAAAGTTGATATAAAGACAGAAAAACGATTCTTAACAGTTTAGAACTTGTCTTTGCTTCTTCTTTCTCTTAGCTATGAATGTTTAATGCTCTGCTTTTATCATGTAAAAATGGGTTAGTGCATATTCTTTGATCTGAACCTTCTTTGCCACCTGCAATCCCTGATACCCAAAACCCTCTCAAGTCTAGAAAGACTCTGAATACTCATTCCACCCAATTTTTGTTTGTTAGAAGATGAAATCTAGGAAACATAGTATAGCCATCTAGTTTCAGATGATGAACCTGCATCTTTGAAAACCTAATGACTGTAGTGTCTACAACAATAGTATGAACATGCTTATCCCATCATCAGGGAAATGCAAATCAAAACCACATCACACCTGTTGAGAATGGAGCCTATCAAAAGACCATAAGCAACAAGTATTATCAGGGGTACAGAGAAAAAGGAACCCTCACACACGATAGGATTGTCTTGCTCCTTTGGAAAACAGTATGGAGGGTTCTCAAGACATTAAATATAAATCTACCATATGGTCCACCAGTTCCTCTTTCTAGGTAGGTATCTGCCAAAACATTAATTTGAAGGGATATCTGTGTTCCTGTGTACATTAAAGCACTATTTACTATAACCAAGCTGTGAAAACAAACCAACTGCTTAATGGTAGATGAGTGGATAAAGAAAATATGGTGTATACACACAAAGGAATGCTACTTAGCTATGAAAACAAAATATCAAATCTTGCCATTTGCTATAGCAAGGATACAACTGGAAGGGATTATGGTAAGCAACATAAGGCAGGAGGAGAAAGATAAATACCATGATTTTGCACACATCTGGAATAAAAAAAAAAAAACAACAACAAAGGAACATACAAAAGCAAACTAAAGGAAACCCTTGAAATCTTAAAGTAGAAGGGAGACTACCAGGGCCTCCCTGGTGGTGCAAGGGGTTAAGTCTCAAAACTATCAAGCTATTGCCAGCCACTGCTACACAAGTTCACTCCCTGACCAGGGGGTTACCAACATGGCTTAGCAGATGTCTCCTGTCTTGCCCGCTGCTCCTCTCAGTAGTATATTTCAGTCAGTCTGCCTGTTCTGCTCCCCACTATTTCTGGTGAATCCTCTCACCCCCCTACCCCTGGCCTACATCCCAGCCTTTATATGCAAAAATAAATACATCTTAAAAACAATAGAGACTACCAGAAGGGACAGATAGGAAATTAAACATTCATGAATTATGGCAGAAGATTATTGATGTATTGGTTGTCGGCATGGTGTGAAAATATACATTTGTATGAACCTACACCCCTAAAAAAATACAGTGTTGGGCCTCCCTGTTGGCGCAAGGGATTAAGCACAGCACTATAAAGCTATCCGTGGCCTCTGCAGCATGAGTTTGATCCCCAGCCAGAGAGATACCACATGGCGCAGCAGATGGTATCTCTCACCCGCTGCTCCCCTCAGCAGGGTTTTCAATCTGCCTGTCTTGCTCTCCACTCTGTCTCTGGTGAATCCTTTCACCCTCCTGTACCTCTGTCCTGTACCCCAGTTCTCATATATATAAATCTTTTAAAAAAATACAGTGGTGTAAATACCCCTAAAAAATATGTTACCTCAATTAATATAAAAAATAATACAGGATAAAAACGTCAGTGACTTCAAAAACAGTAACTTGCAAGCATAAAGCTATCAGAATGAAGGCTTACTATAAATACTAAGTATTTCCCTAAATGTGAAAAACTTGGTCACTAATACCAGTGTTCTCAGATTTTGTTTTTGTTGCTTGTAAGCCACCTCCCACAGTTAGTCAATATGAAGAGCATTAGGAAGAGTATCCCGGGCCTCCCTGGTGGCGCAGCGGTTGAGCGCTGGGTTGCGAAGCTGCCCGCGGCCTCCGCGGCGCTGGTTCGATCCCCGGCTGCTCCCCAGCCACCAGAGGAGGGTCCCACATGGCGCGCAGACCTCTCCTGCCGCCCGCTGCTCCCCTCAGCAGTGTACTTCAGTCCTTCTGCCTGCTCTGCTCCCCGCCCTGGCTCTGGTGAATTCTCTCACCCTCCCGCTCTTCTGACTGTACCCAGTGCATGTATAAACGAAACAAACAAACAAATTAATAAATAAAAAACATGCCTCTATTAAAAAAAAAAAAAAAAGGAAGAGTATCCCGATACATGACCCACTTTCTTTGTTTCTTTTTCTTCCCTAAGCCATTTGCTGGAAGGGGAGTATGCTATAGGCTTTTCCTTTCTCTAAGTAATCTTTCAAAAAAATACTGATCTTTGAAATAAATAAGAATTTGATAGTCAAAGATGAGAAATAACTTTGTTGTTGTAGGGGTTTCTGTTGAAGCAACCCCCCCCAAAAAAAAAGCAGCAAACCACTGCTTCACAAGAGAGATAGTATCTTTGTTGAGATGGTGCATCTATCTATGTGGCCCTGGGTTAAGAAAATTTTCACTGTAGGAGAATATATCCAAAAATATTTCAAAACAAAATTAATGATCCCTGTTACACATGTAACATTTAAGGCTAAGTCTCCTGACCATTCTTATAGAAATTGAAGTTGCAATTCTTTTGATTTAGGTCTTTATATGATACCACAGGATGCCCTAAATTCTCTACATCCATTTGTACTTGAATCCTTTTTGGCCTGAGGGTCTCTCATTAGATTATATTGGAGATTAAATGGCAAAAGTCCAGTTAATTTTTCAGGCCACTCATCCACTATTAAAAATGTAAATGTAAGAAAGTAGAAATTTTAGCCATGTCAAGAGTGTTAACAATGTTGTCAAATGATCTTTAAAAACAGAGCAGAAGAGCCTCTGGTGACAAGGCCAAAAGTCATGTGAATTCTTTGGGTAAAAAGAGGACCCAGACCAGCATCATTTTGGGGGAAAACAGGTCTCAGTAGCCTACTGAAAATTTTGGACCTTAGTATAGAACAAAGAATATAGTTATCATGGGGTAAAAGGATTGCTGAGGGGAACAAAGAGATACAAGTGTTCTTACCTGACTACCAAGCAAAATACACATGGATATACTATATCCTATTTCCTTTATCCTTTGACTTTAAGGGGAAAAAAGCTCCTTGATATATTTCTGTCCTGTGAAAATCTGGTGCAAAGTTTTAATGGCAATGTCACTCTGATTTGCATGCCATTCACTTTGAAAAAATGCAGTAGTAACCACATTGTATATTAAAAAAATTTTAAATAATAAATGAATGAACAAAATAACAATACTTCAAGCAACCATGTAACTCATGATGCCCTGGTTCTCTCATGTAAGTGAGAGCTTGGGGCCAGAGAAAAGAAGAACCTGCAGACAGACAAGGTCACCCAAGCCCCTCACCTTCATTCTGGTCCTCTTTTAGTGCCCCTCACTCTCTTTTAGGGACATAATAGGCCAAAAATCAATAAAAAAAATGCCAGTACTGACCTTGTCTATTTAATCTTTTCCCTTCTCTCATGAAGAAGCAAAGAGGAGGAAGACCTGTGCCAAATCCAAGCTTGTGAGAATTCCAGACAGCAATTTTTTATTAGAATAACATCAGGTTATTATAGCTTCCATTTTCAGTAAAAATTATCAAATAAAGATCAAGTTTTTTTTTT